TATTTTTAGTGGCCATCCTTACACCTTGTAAGATCCACAGTTTAACATGTGAAGAAGTGGATGAAAGAGTATAAACCATTTTGGGATTGCAGAACTGAACCATGCAATCATGAGGGGAGGGGATGACCGTGCAGTGCTATTACTGAGAAGTTAGTTCCACTGAGTTAAGTGGTTTAAGTGCATACCCAGCTGCAGTTTTCAGTCATTATTTTCTTTGAGAACACAGTTCCCTGTTTTCTAAGTAGCTGTCTCTGTCCCTCTCGTTCATATGTAGTGATAGGAACTATTTCAAAGTGCATGGGATCTGAAGGAAGGTCTCTGCAACACTCAGGAATATAATACAACACAAGGACAACAGATGATGCACCAATTTAGTTTACAGACATCACATTAGGTATTATTCCCTGCCTAGGAATAATTGCGCTGCAGCCCACTTCTTCGGAATGCTGAGAACCGCCATTTTGTAAAGAGCTTGCGTTCATCTTAAGATTCACCTTTCCCTGGAAGGTATACCAATGGCGAGCTGGACACTGAGGTCCCAGCTCCGAGGGCCTTCTGGCGGTTCCCTCACTGCGAGAAAGTGAAAGCTACACGGAACCAGGCAGAGGGCCTTCCTGGTAGTGACCCGCCCTGTGGAATGCCTCCCACCAGATGTCAAGGAACTACAGTCCATACCTGGGTTACAGACGCTTTCAGATTGTTTTTTTCCAAGGCTTACGGACCCATCCGAAACCCGGAAGTAACCAGAACGGGTTACTCGCGTTTCTGAATTGCTGTTAAACCATTTTGCTCAGCCATTCAGCGTGCCCACCGAGAACCGGAAACCTCTTCCAGCATAGAAGCTGTTTGACACACAGTCGTCTCCGCCTCTCACTGCGCGGGAGTCTTCTGCGCAGGGAGGGCATGGGTAGTGGAGGACCTGTGCTCTCCTCACTGATGTCCAGTGAAGAATCTCGGAGCTCTCCCTCCGCTTCCTCCAGTTGCCCCTCCTTTTCCCTGGTGTCGCTTTGATTTCCTTCCTCCTCTACTGGGCTCCTCCTGCCCCTGGTGCTGGGTCCCTCGCCAGCAGAATCAGGAGCCTCCCCTCTGCCTCTCGCTCTGATGTCAGTTCCCTGACAACGGGTTACTTCCAGGTTTTGGTGGTAGTGCATGCGCAGAAGTGCTAAATCGCGCTTTACGCATAAGCACCAGATTGCAACCCGCATGTGTGAAGACGCACCACTGTGGGTTGCGAACATGCATCCCACACAGATCACCTTTGCAACCCGAGCATCCACTGTATCTGAATTTTAGAAGACATCTGAAAGCAGCCTTGGTTAGAGAAGTTTTTAATGTTCGATGTTTTACCATGTTTTTAATATTCTGTTGAGAGCTGCCCTGAGTGGCTGGGGAAACCCAGCCAGATGGGCGGGGGTATATTATTATTATTTTTGGGAAACCACCACAGAGAGCCTGAATACTACAAGCAACTCCAGGGCCAGCCTGCCATTCTTGTTTCCCACAGTATTTGGTAAGCAGAGGTACATTGCCCCCTCTATGGAGGTTCCATTCAGCTATCGTGGCTTATAAGTTAATAGTGGTTAACCTTGTGGTTAAAGTACTTAATTCGTTCCGGAGGGTCCGTTCTTAACCTGAAAACTGTTCTTAACCTGAAGCACCACTTAGCTAAATGGGGCCATCCCGCTGTGCCGTGCCGCCCACCATGCGATTTCTGTTTCTCATCCAGAAGCAAAGTTCTTAACCCGAAGGTAGTATTTCTGGGGTTAGCGGAGTCTGTAACTTGAAGTGTCTGTAACCCGAGGTACCACCTGTATTCTGTTTGGGCACATATATTCCTCATCCTCGGACATGTCTCTGTACATAGATGGATACGGAATGCACACCCAGAGAAAAATCCAAGGATTAACCGAGCACCCACTCCTCCCCGTCTTTCATTTCTGGAGGTCACAGGGAAAACATTTTCGGGGTGGCAGGGTTGAGTGGAGTTCAGAAAATTTGAAAGCAAGCACGCAGTGGGCTGAGTTGAATTGGAACCGGTGAGCAACAGGGTGCGGTTAGAATACCCTGCCAAATCCAGCCTGTGTAAACACACCCAAGGAGAGGTAGATCAATCAGGATTTTTTTTTAAAATAAAAAGAGCCTCAATGAACTCTGATCATTGAAGAGAAGAGTGGATTTGATATCCCGCTTTATCACTTCCCGAAGGAGTCTCAAAGCGGCTCACAATCTCCTTTCCCTTCCTCCCCCACAACAAACACTCTGTGAGGTGAGTGGGGCTGAGAGACTTCCGAGAAGTGTGAGTAGCCCAAGGTCACCCAGCAGCTGCATGTGGAGGAGCGGAGACGCGAACCCTGTTCCCCAGATTACGAGTCCACCGCTCTTAACCACTACACCACACTGGCTCTCCTATTGTCTCCCGGGGGCAGCCTCCCAGATGCAAACTCGAGACACGTCAACTAGGAAATGCAGCAGAACTGTTCTCTAACTCAATTTGCCCCAACGATACTAAGGCACTTTTATTTTGACTTGCCGCATTATTTGGAGAGAATCGTTCCCTCTGTTGGTGATGTTCAGCCTGTGTCTGCTTAAGCATGCGTGCCAAAATGGCATCGCGCGCACAAGGAAGGCAGGCTTGTGGGCACCCCAAAGTTTGCAGAAGTACCAAAGAGAGGACTACCCTTAAAAACAAAAGGCCTGATGGGGGCTAAGCATATTCCATCACAACAAAATGCTGGTTGTTAGACAGAGGGAGAAGAAACAGAGCAATCCTGAACAGCAGCATTCCAGAATGTGCCTTTTTGTTGTACAACTCACTTGTTTCCCTTATAATATCCACAATCTATCTTCTCTGAAAATGCCCTTATTCCTATTGAGCTATTGTCAATATTGATATCTGGGCTAGAACTCATGGAAATGTTTGGCACAGCATGGGACACATCTATGAGATCTCTTTTTGTGCTTTTGTAATAGTAGAAGGCTGGCTAACCCCTGGTCCTCAACTCAGCGCTCGTACACTCATTCCACCCCTCGCAAGAGCCAGTTAGTCAGTTACTTCCTGGCTTGCAGCAAACCTGGATGGCCATCCGTCAGGGATGCTTCAGTTGAGATTCCTACATTGCAGGGGGTTGGACCAGATGACCCTCTTGCTTCCTTCAACTCTATGATTCCAACTATGGCTTGTGCTTCCCCTGCAAACCATTGCTTGAGCGCTAGTTTTGCAGAAAAAGCACAAGCCATAGTTTGCTGGTTCAGATGGAATGGAGAATTATGGTTTGTTGTAAACCAGGAATTAACCAATTAAGCAGAGTATGTGGGGGGAGCATAGGGAGCAAAGACTCAAACATGTAACACCAAACCATGGTGTGCCGTTAATTCTGACTGACTGTTGTTGTTGTTTAGTGGTGTCCGACTCTTCGTGACCCCATGGACCAGAACAAGCCAGGCACCCCTGTCCTCCACCCTCCCGCAGCTTGGCCAAACTCATGCTGGTAGCTTCGAGAACACCGTCCAACCATCTCATCCTCTGTCGTCCCCTTCTCCTTGTGCCCTCCATCTTTCCCAACATCAGGGTCTTTTCCAGGGAGTCTTCTCTTCTCATGAGGTGGCCAAAGTATTGGAGCCTCAGCTTCACAATCTGTCCTTCCAGTGAGCACTCAGGGCTGATTGACTGTACCATCTACCAATGAAGCACTAAGGAGTATGCAATATATGTAGCATTCATCCCACCCCCTACTTGGCCTATGGGGGAAGAAGGTCCTCACCACTGCTGGTAGATTGATGGATCTAGAGAAGACCTAAAGGTCTCACTTCTGCCATGGACTCATTTGGTGGGCTCGGGGGGTGGGGTTGCTTCCTGAAAGTCTCAACACCCCCATGTGTACAATGGAAGCAATTGCAACTTACTTTTCAGAATTCTGGCAAGGAATTCTTAAGCTGTGGCACAGAGTGGTCCAGATTGCAAACATGGATGGGGCGGAAGGAACAAATTATGGATGGATGAGCCAGTTCTAGGTCTGTGCCAATTTCACACGCACTGTCCTACATCTGTCCTGTCCTATGGGCTTGCATTTTGGCTGTATGCATTCCTCACAAAATACACATTTTGCGCTTCCCTCCAAATTATGTACGTTAACGCTTTTCCACGCAGCTCCCCACCTCCTTTAAAATAAAATGTCTGAAAATGCATTTTTTAAAAAAACTGAAACCACATTGCAAAGTTCAGATAAGTGAGCAATCTGACTGATAACTGCATTATAGTCCACATCGGTCAGGGACTGTGAAATCAGGCCATGTCGCTTTAAAACGTGGCCTGAGCCACATTCTCTTCTGCCAGCAGACAGGATGAGTGCATTTGTGAGCATGGAGAATAGGTTGTGTCAGATAACCGCTAGTCTTTCTGCCTTTCCATGAGGATTGCAAAACACGCTGTAAAACAAAGTGTGATATCTAAAAAGGACGAGTGCCCCTGTGCTGATTAGCACCATCAGACAGCAATTCCTCAAATTAAGGCCTGCTATGCAAAGAATGCAAATGACCATTGCAAACATATTGCAGTGCAAACATATTGTTTGAATTGTAGGGCTTCCTTTCTATCCACAGCTTCGCAGGCAGGCAGATTCTTGGGAAACTCGACGGACCCAAAGAGCAGAAGATCCCAACGTGCTTTTAAAAGTGCTAGGGCAAGGTTTAGGAAGCAGAAAGCTTGAAAGAAAACAGAGGCCACAGTTTCAACCTACTTCCCCCACTGGCCATTATAAAATGTTGAGAAGTGCTGTGGCCCCCAGATTCAGGCAGTGCTTTGATTAAAGAGAGAATGGATTGGATTGGCAGGCTATTGGTCCAATCCTAGGCATGCAGTTGGGGTGAGGCTGGGATCAAACACACCTTGGCAGCTGCCTAAGATCCTCTAGGAATGCCCACATCAAACTTAAACCCCTCCTTAGGAATGCCCACCACATACACTTAAAATAATTCTCCACCCCATGGCAAATGTCAGGCAGTGAGAGTTGCAGAATCTGGTTATCCTTCTGTACAATAGCAGGTTTAAGTTGTGGATCTTGGGAGACCAGTGATCCATCTCTATTTTAAGGCACCAGGAACTCAGGCTTGTCAGAAACAGGATACTGGGGAAGGGGGGCGTTAGTCCATTTGTTGGTTTGTGCTAGTAAAAAAAAGGTTGCTGTTGAGTTGTCAGAAAGAGACACTTTGCAGAAGATCACCGCCATTTTGCGAGCCGCAGCTGTTGAAAGCTTTCTCCCGCCCGTGTTCATTCTTTCTCAATTCCCCCGTTTCGCAAGGAGGAAATCAGCTGAAATCAGGAAACATCGGCCCAAAACCTCAGGAGCAGCTGCAGTTCTCAGTACTTTCTAGCCCTCCTTTTTAAAACGGACTGGCTTCCGGGGTTGTTTCGGAGACTCGGTGAGGCAAGGGTTTAGCACAAGTTGGTTTCGTGGCAAAGGCTAAGAAAGACTTAGGCCCACCCCCCAAACTTCCCTTCCTCAAGACGCAGTACAAGTCACGACGCAAGACACTCGGCCTCCCAGCTTTGCATCATGGGACCAACAGGGACTTGGCCAGCCGCATCCAGAACCATTTCTTGGTGCAGGGGTTGGTGTAGTCGCAAACCGTGATGAACCTGAGGATGCTTGGGAACTCCTTCTTCATGCTTTTGCACTTAACTGGAATGAGGCACTTGCGGCGAGCTCCTGAAAGAGGAAGCCAACATGGGAATGTGACATAACAAGAGATGGCCTGAGGACCTTCTTCCTCGCTCTTTCGCAGAGAGGCAGGAAACAGCTGCCCCCACTTTCCTTTCCGAGCTCCAACGAGGCTCTGCGTCAGATCAGAGTCAAAATTTCTCAGAAAACCTTTTTCTGAGAATTTCCCTTTTACCCCTTCCTCTCCATCCCCCCATAAGGTGGCGCTGTGGGTTAAACCACAGAGCTTAGAACTTGCTGATCAGAAGGTCGGCGGTTCAAATCCCCATGACGGGGTGAGCTCCCATTGCTCGGTCCCTGCTCCTGCCAACTTAGCAGTTCGAGAGCACGTCAAAGTGCAAGTAGATAAATAGGTACCGTTCCGGAGGGAAGGTAAATGGCGTTTCCGTGTGCTGCTCTGGTTTGCCAGAAGCGGCTTAGTCATGCCGGCCACATGACCCGGAAGCTGTACGCCGGCTCCCTCGGCAAATAAAGCGAGATGAGCGTCGCAACCCCAGAGTCGGTCCCTTTACCTTTACTCCATCCTCCGTACACACACACACACACACACACACACACACAGGCTCCAGGGTGCCTCACAGGAAGTGGATAATAAATTTAACAAATAAGTAGCAACAATATGGATCAGGTAGCCCATGCAGGTGTTTACCTGGGGAGAGGCTGAGGGCAAACTTGGTCTGGAAGTCACAGGCTTCGCTATCAAGGTAGTCATCCGAAATCACTACCACCATTTTCCGGCACCTGAAGTTTTTTTAAAAAACACAAAACAGAGAAAACACATTTGTGAAAAGTGAGCGGACAACAGAGAGGATGAAGCCTAGGCAACTGGAAGTGTTCTGACCAACAGGGAACGGGGCGTTTTCGGAGCTCTAGATACCGCCTAGTGCAGTGGTCCTCAAAGGAGAGAATGGCAAGAATGGCGGGAAGATTCAAGGACAATCAACACTGTTTTGAGAATGACTCCTGTTCTTCTGTAGCTGTGTTGTTTTATACTTCCTGGATGTCCCGTGACCACATTATAAAGCGGTTGTGTTGTATGTTTTAAATCAAGTTGTTTCTTTTTGTTTCCCAGTGTACAGTGGTACCTCAGGTTACATACGCTTCAGGTTACAGACTCCGCTAACCCAGAAATAGTGCTTCAGGTTAAGAACTTTGCTTCAGGATGAGAACAGAAATCGTGCTCCGGCGGCGCGGCAGCAGCAGGAGGCCCCATTAGCTAAAGTGGTCTTCAGGTTAAGAACAGTTTCTGGTTAAGAACAGACCTCTGGAACGAATTAAGTACTTAACCTGAGGTACCACTGTATTTCTTGTTGACAAAATATTTGGTGCGGCGCCAGCAAACTTTTATTCTGAAAGTGTGGCCCAGAGAAAAAAATTAAGGACCTCTGGCCTAGTGGGTAACGGGGAGCCTGAAAGATGTGTGGGTCAAAGGCCACAAGGCACTCCATTTCCTCCCCACCATAAGCACATCTTCTCTTAAGTGCCCGCACATCTGCCTTCCCTTTCTGCATCTGCCTAGTCCCAATACTTTAAAGTGGCAATAAACATCTTAATATAGCCCCAAAACTGCATCTGACCCAAACTTTAAAGCAGAGCCTGACTATACGAATACGGACTGTAAAGTATTTGTCAGCCACTCCTCCTTTTCTTCTCTGTGACCATATGCAAAGGTAGATGTTGTTGTTGTTTAGTCGTTTAGTCGTTTAGTCGTGTCCGACTCTTCGTGACCCCATGGACCAGAGCACGCCAGGCACTCCTGTCTTCCACTGCCTCCCGCAGTTTGGTCAAACTCATGCTGGTAGCTTTGAGAACACTGTCCAACCATCTCGTCCTCTGTCGCCCCCTTCTCCTTGTGCCCTTCATCTTTCCCAACATCAGGGTCTTTTCCAGGGAGTCTTCTCTTCTCATGAGGTGGCCAAAGTACTGGAGCCTCAGCTTCAGGATCTGTCCTTCCAGGGAGCACTCAGGGCTGATTTCCTTCAGAATGGAGAGGCTTGATCTTCTTGCAGTCCATGGGACTCTCAAGAGTCTCCTCCAGCACCATAATCCAAAAGCATCAATTCTTTGGTGATCAGCCTTCTTTATGGTCCAGCTTTCACTTCCATACATCACTAGTGGGAAAACTATAGCTTTTACTATACGGACCTTTGTCGGCAAGGAGATGTCTCTACTTTTTAAGATGCTGTCTAGGTTTGTCATTGCTTTTCTCCCAAGAAGCAGGCGTCTTTTAATTTTGTGGCTGCTGTCACCATCTGCAGTGATCATGGAGCCCAAGAAAGTAAAATCTCTCACTGCCTCCATTTCTTCCCCTTCTATTTGTCAGGAGGTGATGGGACCAGTTGCAGAGGTAGATAGGGATCCCAAATCTCCGGCTTACTGTTACACAGTCTTAGGAAAAGCTGCTCCCTCTGGCTGTCTCCATCTTAAACATCACTGGGCTTTGAAGACCACTTATTTATTTAAAAATGCACGGACCACAATCTCCCGATATCCAGGTGGCGCCTGGGAATGGCATACAGTAAGGAATCAATTGCTGCAAATTGCAGGGGTGTGTATGTGTGTGTGGGAGTGCTGTTGTGCTCAGGTCCTGTTTCTGAGCTTGCCATAGGAAGACTTCTAAATGGAGATCTTCATTCCACATGGTATTTCTATTGGATTTCATTGGTTTTTTGTTCCGCCCGCAATGCTGGCTGACTTGACTGCCTGCCGTTCTGTCGTCATGCTGGAGTTGCTACAGCCACCAACAGGCAGCCATGTGAACTGCAGCATGACAACAGACTTACAATTTATTTTATATATGACACATGCAGGTGGGTTTTTTTTTTTTTTAAATGTAACTGTTTTACTTAATTTATATCCTAAATTGCTTTGGGATGCCTCACTGGAAGCAATTCATAAACAAAATAAATAAATATCAGGCATCCGGTTGGCCGCTGTGAGAATAGGATGCTGGACTGAATAGATAATGATAAAATCCATTAAATTACAACCTTTTCAGCACCGATTTCATTCTCAGTTTTTTCTGGACTGTTCTATGCTGCGAATTCCTTTTTTTATCACTACTCTTTTTGCTGTGTAGTTTTTTGAGGGGTAGTGTTTTATTTATTTTTATTCAACAAAACTTGATCAAAAAGAAATGAAAATCCTAGTGATTTACATAAAATAGCACAAAATATTATTTAAAACACCAGTAAAAATCAAACTTTAGAAACAAGTAGATGTAATAAAAATACATTGTGAAGAGGCCCTCGGCAGCCAGTGTGGTGTAGTGGTTACAGTGTCAGTCTAGGACCTGGGAGACCATACTTCGAATCCCCACTCTGTCATGAAACATACTGGGTAACCTTGGGCTACTCACTGCCCCTCAGCCTAACCTAACTCACAGCAATAGATTCTCTTTTCTGCTACTTGTGGGGATTAACTGAGGGAGAGAAACATGTGAGGGAGAGAAACTTGTGGGGATTAACTGAGGGAGAGAAACAGGGATAGATTGTCTTTTCTGGTACTTGTGGGGATTAACTGAGGGAGAGAAACATGTGAGCCACTTTGAGCTCCTTGGAGGAAAAGGTGAGCTATAAATTCAATTATGAATGAATGAATGAATGAATGAATGAATAAAGTAAGTGTTGATGGGCAGCATAAAAGTTCCTAAAGCAAATAAATATTAAAGCCACTTTTCCCCAGCCTTAAAATAATACGAAAGGAATGCAATACATTTTTAAAAACTAGGCTTGTTAACTAGTTCCTAGTTATTCTAGATTGCTTAGAATAAAGGTATTTACCAGCTGATTGTTGATCACTGTTCCAACAGGTTATTGGAAAAACGCAGCAAGTTTTGCAAGGTCTCAGTTGTTTCAGAATGAATTGAACAAGCAGTTGTATTGGGAGTTGCATTCTTTTAAGTAATTTTATTTAATGGGGGGGGTGTTTGGGGGCAGAAGGCTGAACCCACTGTTAGAGCAGATCCACTGAAATCCAGTGGACTTCTACGGATTTCACTGTCTACTCTTGGTTTTTTATGCTTTATTGGTTAAAAACTTTATAACAGAAATGTTCAATAGATGTTGAAAACAAAATAGAAAAACAAAAATAAACAATAATTCCTTCCTTAACTGATACTCACTTTGTACATCCACTTGTAATTAAATTTAACATGACCTCCGATCTTCCCATTGTGTTCCCGGATTAAATTCCTTAAATACGCACTCTAACTTTGTTTCCTCCATGTTATTTAACTTACTATAAATTTTGTTTTATAAAATTATCCTATTTGCACACAGAAGTTCAATCAAAACCTGCCAACAGATTAGTATTTTTGACAGTGTTCTTTTACGCATGTCCCACTCTGATAAATTTTTCGTCAGTGACGTCTCGTAACCTTGCTGATAGTCTCGCCAGTTTGACGTACTCTCTTATTTTATTTTGTCAGTCTGACTTAGATGGGATATCCTCTCCCTTCCAGCCTTTTGCGATTAGAATCCTGGCAGCAACTATACACATAGATAAAGACTCTCCTGAACTTTTTTGGGATGTCGTGACCTATAATTCCTAGCAGGAAAGCTTCAGGGCTTTTTTTTAGGGAAAGAGCATTTGAACATTTTCTTAAGCTCGTTATAAATCAAGAGTCTACTCCTGAGTAGAACCTAGCTGGGAACAAACCAAGAGAGCTGCAGGAGGCACAATGGATATTTCCATTGCTGCCCACCTGGGTATATATTCCTCAACTCACCGCGTCTCTATAAGCTCGCTGGTGATGGACCAGACGCACGTTCCGGGGAGGACATCCCGGTCGAACACACAGAGCTTCAGCTTGTGCTCTGTCTGTTCCAGCTCTTGGATCATCTCTTGCACAAAGTGAAGGTCGTTCGGGCAGTAACAGATGAAGGCATCAAACATCTCTACCGTGTGTCCTGAATTAAAACAACAACGAAAACAACACTAGATGAGATTATGCATTCATTCGTGCCAACTCTCAAGAGACTGCTATCTACCGTATTTTTCGCTCTATGAGACGCACCAGACCACAAGACGCACCTAGTTTTTGGAGGAGGAAAACAAGAAAAAATATATTCTGAATCTCGGAAGCCAGAACAGTAAGAGGGATCGCTGCTCAGTGAAAGCAGCAATCCCTCTTGCTGTTCTGGCTTCTGGGATAGCTGTGCAGCCTGCATGCGCTCCATAAGACGCACACACATTTCCCCTTACTTTTTAGGAGGGAAAAAGTGAGTCTTATAGAGCAAAAAATTCGGTACTTTCAGAATTAAAAACTGCCCCCTTTTGGGGGGTTCACCTCAAAATAATTGTTGAGCTTTTTTTAGGGAGGAGGAAGGCCCCATTTTGGGAGGAGTTCCTTTTTGGGGGTTAATGGACAGGGCGAAGGGGTGAGGCAGGAGGAAAGGGAGCCAGAGATCAACCGCGATCTAACAAAACCTCGTGGGGAACCACCAGTAGATCACGATCGACCAGCTGGACATCCCTGATTTAGGCCTTCATTGCATTAATATGCTCCCTTTTTCTCAAGGTGGCCAACATGGACCACCCCCCTCCTCCTTTAAACCCCACAACAACCCTGTGAGGTAGGTGAGGCTTAGAAGCAGAGACTGGCCCAAGGCCACCCAGTGAACTTCATGGCAGAGTGGGGATTCGAACCCTGGTCTTTCGGGTCCTAGCCCAATGCTCTAACCACTACACCACACTGGCGCGAATGGAGGGAGCGGGGAAGTGTTACCCTTCTGAGCCAGCCTTGCACACACGTTCTCAAAAATTAACGTCCCCCGGCTCACATAGAGCTGTGAAACGTCCTCAGACCTAAAAGAAAATTGCTGTAAACCTTCCCTGCTATTCACCTGGAGGATGTAACCACTCGCCGCAGGAGAGCAGGAAACTACCGTATTTTTTGCTCTATAGGACGCACCGGACAATAGGACGCACCTTGTTTTAGAGGGGGGAAAACAAGAAAAAAAAATTCTCCCCCTCTCTGCCCAGCGCCCCTTCAGCAAAGCGGCAGGAGGCGCTGCGCAGAGAGGGGGAGAATTTTCCCACTCTTGTTTTCCCCCTCTAAAACAAGGTGCCATTTAAGGTGCGTTCAGGTGGCTACCTTGGAAGCCTGGCCCACCGACCCCTCTTGCTCTCCAGGCTTCAGGTTCCTTTCGACCTGCTCTTTGGGGCTGGCGGGGGGAAGCCCACCACCAGCCCCAAAGAGCAGGTCGGGGAGCGGGGAAAGGCGCACAGCGGAGAGGCTCCTGCCGTAGTCGTGCGTCACCTCTCCAGCTGGGAGAGGGTCGCGGGGGGCTTGTTTAGCCGTGCGCGCGCTTTCCTGGCTGGAGAGGTGGTGCGCGGCTAAAGAGGCTCCTGCCATAGCCGCACGCCACCTCTCCAGCCGGGAGAGGGTCACGGGGCTATGGCTTCTTCACTCCATAGGACGCATACACATTTCCCCTTCATTTTTGAAGGGGAAAAAGTGCGTCCTATAGAGCGAAAAATACGGTAGCTGCTTGCAACCCGGATGTAAACTATCCCAGTTGTAACAGATGGTTGGCAATTACCGTATTTTTCACTCTATAAGACACACTTTTTTCCTCCTAAAAAGTAAGGGGAAATGTGTCTGGATCTTATGGAGCGAATGCAGGCTGTGCGGCTAAGCAAGAAGCCAGAACAGGGAGAGGGAGCGCTGTGCAGCGCTCCCTCTCGCTGTTCTAGCTTCGGGCTTAGCTGCGCAAAGCCTCCGCAGGGCAGCGGGATGAAGGCTCCCCGCTGCCCTGCGGAGGCTACGCGGGCTGTCCCAGAAGCCTCCGCAGGACACGGGGATGAAGGCTCCCCGTGCCCTCCGGAGGCTTCGCATGAAGCTAGAACTATGAAGCTATTCTGGCTTTTGGATAGCCCCACAAAGCCTCCGTAGGGCAGCGGGACGAAGGCTCCCCGCTGTCCTGCGGAGGCTTTGCGTGGCTGTTGGGGGAAGGGACAGAGCGCGCAACTCTGTCCCTTCCCCCACCTCCCAGAAAAGCCCCCAAGAACCGCGCTCCCTTTAAAGAGTGTGCGGTTCTTGCGGGAGATGGGGGAAGGTACAGAGGGCAGCTTACCTGCACGCAGCCTCTTCCGGGCAGGGAAAGCCTTCATCCCACTGCCCAGGAGACACTTCAGTGGCTATCCCAGAAGCCAGAACAGTAAGAGGCTATCCCAGAAGCCAGATCCCTCTCGCTGTTCTGGCTTTTGAGATTCAGATTTTTCCCCCTTGTTTCCTCCCTCCCAAACTAGGTGCGTCTTATCGTCAGGTGCGTCCTATAGAGCGAAAAATACGGTACATGTAGCTCAAAATCCATTTAACACATTGCTCGACAGAGCACCCTCCTCCAGGAAGAATTCTAGACAGGCCGGTGAGCTATGCAGGCGCCTCCATGGGTGGTAACACTGAGGTCAAAGAAAAACTTGCGTGCACATGTCTTCCCTCTTAGTTTAGCTGCACGTTTATCATCATGTCGCTGTGCTCAAGGGTTACACTGGTTTCCCAAAACCCAGCCTTTTAATTCTTTTTTTTTCAAGAGTGTTATTAATTTCCCAATAATAATCATTAGCTACCATGATATATATATATATTAAAAGAGTGTGATAGATTGTGCTCATTTTACCTGGTGCTTTTCTCTTTTTTTCTTTTTAAAATAATTTTTATTAAAGATTTTTCTGTTTGCAAAAGTATGCACATCCGTCTCTTTTTTTCAGGTTATAAAGTCTTTTCTGCAGGTCAGTTCCGTTTAATACGAGACGTTAGCGTTGTATACGGCGTTTTACCTGGTGCTTTTGAACAGCTGCACAGCAAGCAAATTCAACAGGTGCACTTCAAAGAGGTGTAATCTGAGTGAGGCCATGAGCTTTACCTGTTGAATTTCTGCCTGTGCTGCAAAACCGTTAAAGGTTCAGGAGCCCTGCCAGAAAATTAGGCACCCATCAACCCTAGCCACAAAAGGTGGGTAAGCCATCTCATTTCCTCTTCCTTTCAGTGGCTGCATAAACACTGTTCTCTCTCTCACACCCAGACCATCTTTTCTGAATCAAATAATCTTATTTGGTCCCTTATCTTTCCCGCCCCGACCTGGCCACAGTGATCCATGCAACGGTCACCTCCAGGCTTGACTACTGTAATTTGCTCTATGCAGGGCTGCCCTTGAAGCTGTCCCAGAAACTCCAGCGGGTGCAGAATGCTGCAGCGAGGCTCCTCACGGGGTCTCTGCCATGGGAGCATATTCATCCAGTGCTTTTCAAGCTGCACTGGCTCCCGGTGGAGTACAGGGTCAGATTTAAGGTGCTGCTTTTGACCTTTAAAGCCCTTCACAGCCTAGGACTCTCGTACCTACGGGACCGCCTCTCCTGGTATGCCCCACGGAGCGCCTCAAGGTCCATAAATAGCAACACCCTACTGGTCCTGGGCCCTAAGGAAGTTAGATTAGCTTCAACCAGAGCCAGGGCCTTTTCAACACTGGCTCCGGCCTGGTGGAACGCTCTGCCTCATGAGACCAGGGCTCTGCAGGATCTGATTTCTTTCCACAGGGCCTGTAAGACAGAGTTGTTCCACCTGGCCTTTGGCTTGGAGCCAATTTGATTCCCTCCCTCTCTTTCTTTTTTCTTTTCTTCTCCTCCTGCGATGAGGCTACATTTTAATTTTAATGTTTCAATATTTTAATGTTGTATTTTAATTTTGTTTTTAAGTTGTAATCATTCAACTTGTTTTTATTATTGCTTGTAAGCCGCTCTGAGCCCAGCCTTGGCTGGGGAGGGCGGGGTATAAATAAAAAATGTTGTTGTTGTTATTGTATTTTCCTTTTTTTTTACCAAGGGGGTCATCTTGCGTAGTGATGCCCTGCAGTTCAGATGCCCTTGCGATACTGCTGTCCACCGCCGGGACCTGAACGGGCCTCTCCGCCTCCTCCTGCTGTTTCCTCCGCAGGTACTTCTTGCAATCTTCTTCTGCAAAGAGTCACAGAACAATAATAATAAGGCATGTTTCTGGGTATGCTTCGTTTGCGGTTCGGGGCCCGTCCGCACGACAGCCTCCTCTGCTCAGTGCTAAACCACAAACACAGGACACATGGCTGGACTAGAGGGAGCAGGAAGAGGTTAAATCTCTCTTCCTGGGCCAATACCCTAAAGCCAATGAAGGGGACTCACAAGCCCAAACTGACCCTGAATCAGCTCAATCTCTACACCCGTTAAATTGGCAAAAATGTATAAGGTAAACAATAAACGTTGGAAATGTAAAGAAAAAGAAGGAACATTTCACCATATGTGGTGGGAATGTAAAAAGGTGAAAAACTTCTGGGAAATGATATACAATGAGATGAAAAAAATGTTGAAATATACATTTATTAAAAAACCAAAGCTTTTTTATTGGGCATTGTAGGGTATAATATAAATAGAAATGATTGTAAGCTGTTTTTATACGCAATGATGGCAGCAAGAATATTACTGGCACAAAAATAGAAGCAAGAAGAATTACCGACGAAAGAAGATTGGAGGATGAAATTGATGGACTATGCAGAATTAGATAAACTAACGGGAAGAATTTGAAACCGGCGGGACCAGAGATTCACAGAAGGTTGGCATAAATTTACGGACTATCTGAAAAGTAATTGTGATGATCAGATTACATTTGTAGGTTTGCAGGAAGTTTTGTGAGGTGAATAATTTGAATTATTGCATAACTGGATGAAAAGGACGATGTTCGTTAAGATAATTAAAGGCAATATGAATTTAAGAAATGCAGAAGAAATCATAAAAATGGGGGCTCATCAGAGGTGCTGATGGAAGTCCAAAAATTGTATAAGATGTGAAATTTTGTGGTATGTATGACAATATGTTTTAAAATAAATAAAAATTATTTTTTTAAAAAAGAATCAGCTCAACCTCATGCAACTAGCATGCAGAGGTCAGGTGAGTATTGTATGATAGTGGAGCCTCCATGTCCTGGGGCAGTATATCTCAGATTTGCAAGATCTTGGGGGACGGCAATGGAGAGGGTGCAGATCTCCACCTGCTCTGGTTGGGAACTTTATTGTAGCAAACACTAGGCTGCCACCGGGGACAGACAGAGGGGTTTGGATTTGTTAGGCGCTGGGGAACACTCTGAGGCAAGGATAAGGAGCCTGGGCTCCCAGGTGTTATTGAACTGCATCTTCCACTATCCCTGAGCATTGGCCATGCTGGTTGGGACTGATGGGAAACCAGGGTGGATAAAAATCAATGATTTTAAAAAATAATAATTTTTTAAAATTTAAATCAGATTCTTTTAAAATTTAAATTGGATTTTTAAAATAAAGAGAGCGTGCTCACTTATGGCTTATGTGTGTGGTACAGAAGCTGTACTACCCAGGACAGGATGGGGTTGTGCAGAGTTGTTAAGGCAGCAGAGAGCATTGTTGGCTGCCCACTCTCCACCTTAGAGCAGATTTATGCCACAAGGTGCCATAGGAAGGACATAGTAAAAGATCCATCGCATCCTGGTCACTGTCTCTTCGAGCTCCTGCCGTCGGGATGGAGATACAGGACGATGAAGACAAGAACGAGCCGTCTTAAGAACAGCTTCTTCTCCAGAGCGATCTCGGCCCTGAATGGGAAGCCTGGACTTTGAAAGTCATCTAATCTTCCTTGCTGTATTATACTGTATTGTTTAATTAGTGTTTTTATGGAGCAGTCAAGTAATTTCGTTGTCCCCGAGAGGGGGCAATGACAATAAAGATATTATTAATATTATTATTATTATTATTATTATTATTATTATTATTATTATTATTATTATTATTATTAAAATGCTTTTGGAGGAAAAAGTCTTTCTATTGAAGTTACATTATAGTCCAAAGACTATTCATTTGGAAATAAGGATTTGTTTTAAGTTTTTCATGTGTACTAACACTCAGTCTAAGTTTTTTTTTTAATTGTTTAACTACATCAGTTAACAAACATGGATACATATGCTATGTTATTGTCTTAGTTAAATAAATTGTTTAAATAATAAAATTGATTCATTTTCTCCTTTCAATAAAGTACAGCAGAAAAGTTGCCCACATATAAACAGTTAACTTATTAAACCTCACAATAATTTCATAATTATCTTTAAAAACTACTCTGAAAATTTATTATTCCAAAAATGAAACCTTCATTTGGTTGTGAATATTAAGATTATACCAACAAGAATGAGTCTTTATGTTAAAAAAATGATTTAAATCAAGTCTTACTGACTAGTGATTTAAATTGATTCATTTTAAATCAAATCTACCCTGTGGGAAACAGTGCAACAGCATCTAAAAATGCAGATTGAGGATTGCAGGAGCAAGCAATGCAAGAGAGGCAGTGTGGTGCAGTGGTTCGAGTGCTGGATTAGGACCCTGGAGATCCGGGTTCAAATTCCCACCGGGGAATTAAGTTCGCTGGGTGACCTTGCGCCAGTCACAGTCGTCTTTCGGCCTAACCCACCCCACAGGGTTGCTGTTGGGACTGAAAGAGGAGGGGCAGAGCCCAGAAGGGGCAGAATCGTGTATGCCAGCTTGAGGTCCCTGGGAGAAAAAGGCAGGATATAAATGCAGGAAACAAAACACAAAATGACGCCAAGCTTTAGATTTTGTTGCTGCTTCAAATATCAGTCTCTAGTTTGGGCTCTCATTCGTTGGTGATGCTGTTGTGTTTTTGTAAGGATGGACAAAGGGTACGCCATGCTGGGTAGAGGCACTCGGGAATGCAGCTATAAAAAGGTAAAGGGACCCCTGACCGTTAAGTCCAGTCGGCGGAATGAACTCTGGGGTTGCGACCGCTCATCTAGCTTACTGGACCGAGGGAGCCGGCGTTTGTTCGCAGACAGTTTTCTGGGTCATGTGGCCAGCATGGACTAAGCCGGCTTCTGGCGAAACCAGAGCAGCTGTCAAAGAAACACCATTGTTAACCCTTCCCGCAGAGTGGTACCTTATTTATCTACTTGCACTTTGACGTGCTTTCAAAACTGAAGCGGTTTGGCAGGAAGCAGGGACCCTTTAGCTGTACAGCTCCCTAAAACTCTTCAGCGAAACGAAAGAAGAAGAAGAAAGGACTTTGTTTTCTTCTTGATGAAGCAAGTTGTGTTTTCCTTCTGGTAGGACTGGAACCAATGGATTCAACTTACAGTGGTACCTCGGGTTAAGAACTTTATTCGTTCCGGGGGTCCGTTCTTAACCTGAAACTGTTCTTAACCTGAGGTACCACTTTAGCTAATGGGGCCGCCTGCTGCCGCCACACGATTTCTGTTCTCATCCTGAAGCAAAGGTCTTAACCCGAGGTACTATTTCTGGATTAGTGGAGTCTGTAACCTGAAGCGTCTGTAACCCGAGGTTCAAGTTACAGTGGTACTTCAAGGTTAAGGACTTAATTCGTTCCGGATGTCCGCCTCTTAACCTGAGTACCACTTTAGCTAATGGGGCCTCCCGCTGCCACCGCACTGCGATTTCTGTTCTCATCCTGAAGCAAAGTTCTTAACCCGAGGTACTCATTTCTGGGTTAGCGGAGTTCTGTAACCCGAAAGCGTCTGTACCCGAGGTGCCACTGTACAAGAAAAGAGATTCGGGGCTAAACCAGCAGAAGGAAACTTTCTGATGCTAAGGGCAGAGAGCTCAAACACCCACTGAAAGGTCTTCAGTAAGAGCTGTTGGAGGGACTCTCCTTTAATGGAGGTTTAGAAGCAGAGGCTGGATGGCCATCTGTCAATAGTTGGGATTCCTGCACTGCAGTGGGTTGGACTAGATGACCCCGGGTGCCCCTTCCAACCTTATAATTCTATGATCCTATGAAATGTTTTTATGTTAAAGCAAACAAACAAAAGCAACAGCATTGCAGTAACACACCCGGAACCAAAACAGCTTCAAACAGGAGTGCTAAACAACGAGGAAGCGTCAAGAAGGAAACAAAACCAAGAAGTTAGGAAGAGGGAGGAAGAATATCGGTAGCCATTTCCTCTCTCTCTCCGGGAAACTGCTCCCTGACAGGCAGAAATCCAACCGGTGACGCCCCGAGGATGGGCGCAAAGCCTCCTCTGTTGGGAACTGGGTATTGGGGCGCAACAGAAAGGAGAGGCCGTGCGTAAAACAGGGCGCTCATTCTGGAGAGGCCGTGCGTAAAACAGGGCGCGGGGAGAGAGAGGTGTGTCCCCTTGGATTGGGGCGGAGGGGGCATCGACGGGACGGGACGGGGGCGAGAATCAGGGGCGTCCCCGGACCCTGTTTGCTCACCGATGCTGGTCCCCAGGTCAGCCAGGACGTCCCGGCGGCCGAGGTGGCGCAGCAGCCCCAGGAGGCGGCCCACGGTAGCGCCGCCGGGGCAGCGCTTCTGCCAGTCGGCCAAGAGGCTCTCGGTGGGGTCGGCCTTGCCTTCGAAGTGCTTGATCTCCAGGTAGTCGTAGCCCAGCTCCTCGGCCAGCGCCGTCCAGTCGGAGGCCACCGGGGCGCGCGGGTTGAGGAAGAGCCCCAGGCGGCGGCGCACCGAGTAGTTGAGCGCCACCAGCGGCACCGAGTCTTCTTCCGACGGGGAGGACGGAGACGCGCCAGCGGCGCCAACAGCAGCGACCTCCGCCATCGCGCGCCTGGCTCGCTCGCTCTCGCCTCGCCGCCTTCCCTTTCCTGTCCCCGCGGCCGCTTTCGCAACTTCCCCGACGGGGCGGAGCAGGAGGAGGAGATGATGAGCCTCCAAACCGGTTTCGCTTTTTGGTGCCGGCTCAGCTGCGGGATGCATCCGTCCAGCACATTGGAAGATTCAGAATAGACGCGTCTAGTGGTTAACGCTATGAGACGGGCGCTCACACGAGAGGCAGGGATGGCCACGCCAAGCTAGACGGCTCTAAAATTGTTATTAGTTATTAAAATTTTAGTATTGTCCTTAGCCCAGAGCTTTCCAAACTGTGTCGTTACAGCTGCAGTGTGTAGGTTTGTCCCCACGTTCCTCCCGGGGATTGGAAAGGGGTTAGTTTAACCGACAATTTGCAAGTAAAACTGAAGTACTGTGTTGTGAAATGATGCGTGCAAAAAAAGCATGTCACCATCAGGAATAGTTTGGAAAGCTCTGCCTTAGCCGAAAGATTGCAACAAGGAAATAGAACACAAAATACAAAACAAAGATAAACAATAACCCCATTCTCTCCAGCACACAGTTATTATTTATTAAATTTGATAGAGGAGAGGGCGATCCATGGCTACTGAAAAAAACTTCCCCACCCCATTGAACTCTGGGGCTGACTGCCCTGCCAGCAAGCTTCATTGCTTAGTTTGCAAAATGTTTTATCAATGGATGGTAAAAGAAAACGGAAAGAAACTCAGGAAAATCTTGATGCCGAAAGCAAGTTTATTTGTCATGATCATTTTTTAATAGCCCAAACCATTTTTGCGGTAGAAAATTAAAGCCCATGCTAATATCAAAAACTATTTTCTGCACCCCACGCTTCCCCCCAAAGGTAGGACACCTAGTTAAAAATAAGACTGCATAGCATAGCATTTAGCACAACTGATTTGTAACTCCTATTAGACTCTTCCAAACAACTTGTTTCTTCCATTATTCATACTGATTCGCTTTCACGAAGTTTATAGAGGGGTTAGAATATATCCAGGCTTTATTGAGCAGTTGTTCTGATTTACTTGCAGGGTGTTAGTACATCTTCCTGCTAATCCTTTTTTCCACATTTTTCAATGCATTTCCCTATCACTTTCCTAACTGCAAAAGTCTGTTTCTTTCTTAAAGCTGCTTTGTGGCACAAGGACAACAGAGCACTTTGATCTGCTTTAATTGTGCAACCCTAAATTTCCCCAGAGTGCACTGGAACCCCTCCCCCCAGAGTGCACTGGGACACCCTCGGTTTGTTTTACATATTAAGTTTGTCAGAATAGCAAGATTCCAGGGGAGGCCATTTTCAGTTCGAGTAGCTTTTGCCTCTGCAAGCCTTCAAGTTACACACAAAGCTTTGCCCAAAAAACGTGGCCTACCACACCACAGGTTTCCCAGCCCCGGAAGGGCCAAAAAAGGCTATCAGCTATACCCAGTAGCAGAGAGCCATTGGGACCCTTCGCCTCTGGGTCATTTTCCCAGGGAACCTCAGCCACTCTCCTCAGGACAAGTCTTTGTTTCGAGAAAAATAAAAATCCACTCCTCTATCTTTGTGCTGTTTTGGGGTGTACGAAGGACCTTTCTTCCCCTTCAGAGCAGGACCTTGGCTGTTCTGCAAGAAAGAGGGAAATGGTCAGGAATTCTTATATTTATTACCATTATTATTGTTGTTATTTAATTTGGTTTCTTACCCGCCCTGCACCAGAAAGTCCCAGAGCATGTTACAGCAATGTAAAATGGTTAAGAGTACTAGACTAGGAGCTGGGAGATCAGGGTTCGAATCCCCACTCAGCCACAAAGCTCACTGGATGAGAGCTTGGGCCATTCCCTGCCTCTCTGCCTAACCTACCCCCACACGACCATTATGAATAAAAGGGCAGAACCATGTATACGATACGATAATCTTTATTGTCATTGTCCCATACAGAACAACGAAATTGAAAAAAACTACCTCAGACATTCAAAAACCAACAAGCCGGCTATCCCAGCCTGGTTAGCCCCCTAAAAACTCTGATACCCCATAATTAAATACAATATACTCCCATAGAGACTACCTTAAAGGTAAAGGGACCCCTGACCATTAAGTTCAGTTGTGGCCGACTCTGGGGTTGCGGCGCTCATCTCGCTTTATTGGCCGAGGGAGCCGGCATAAAAAGCTTCTGGGTCATGTGGCCAGCATGACTAAGCCACTTCTGGCAAACCAGAGCAGCGCACGGAAACGCCGTTTACCTTCCCGCCGGAGTGGTACCTATTTATCTACTTGTACTTTGATGTGCTTTTGAACTGTTAGGTTGGCAGGAGCAGGGACCGAGCAGCACAGGGCAAGGCAAAATTGACTGACTTAGCACATACCGGTTTCTGGTTGATGTGCCTGCTCCACTCCCGGGCCATGACGACTGGCAGAGGATAGGTGGCCCCGAGGCTGACGCCAGCCTGAGAAAGGGCAGCGGTGCTCAGGGCCCATGGGGTGTGGATGTCTCCTCCTTTTATGCCCTGCAATTCGGGAACCCACAGTCGGACGTAGTCTCCCTGCAGAGGCAAACAATTGGGTGAGGCAAGGCTTGCAGCTCAGTGACAGAACACCTGCTTGGAAGGCAGAAGATCCCTGGTTCAATCTCTGGCGCCTGTCTTTATTTTTTTTTAATTAATAATTTAAATTTTATTAGTATTTTCCACACAACAACACAAAAAATATCAAAAAACCCCAATCCATTATCTTACAAGTTAACAATATAAACATTAAAAAGAAAAACAAACATTGACTTCCACCAATGCCACTACACCTCCTTTACCTCTCACTGTATCTTCCTGTTTTCCTTATCATCTCTATCCTAGCATCTAGCTATAAATCCCTCTTTCTTATCCTTTCACTTCACAAGGTTATCCCAGACTCAGCCGGATTTCTGTCCTCGAACCTTGACTTTTAAGGTATTCCTTTAAACACTCCCATTCCTTTTTCAGTAGGGCTGGGAAGATCTAACGATCTGCACAGCATCTCAAAGAAGGATTGCAAATACTGCTTCGGGATGTGAGCTTGTTAGCTGAAGCACGGACACATGCATTGGGCTCATAAGATCAGGGGCCATTAGCCCCCAACCCAAGGCCAGCGCATGCTCCTTCACTCAGACTTGACGTTGTTCAGTAGGAGAGTACACACAAAGGTCTCAAATCCGACCCCTGGCACCTGCAGTTAAATGATTTTAGGTCCACAGATGGGGCCAGGCTTTGGAGAGGTAATTTCTATCAGTTTATTAGCTCCTTATAAAGCCAGCAAGGCTATCAGCCCCCAGTACATTGGCAGCTATCAGAGATGCTCTATTTTACGCTCTTCTGCACTTACCACCAGAGTGCAGCCATACAGAGAAAAATACTATGTATGAGCGTCTCCACCTCCACCTTCATCGATGGAGGAGCGTCTCCACCTCCATCGTTCTGCCCGGACACTGAGGTCCAGCGCCGAGGGCCTTCTGGCGGTTCCCTCGCTGTGATAAGCCAAGTTACAGGGAACCAGGCAGAGGGCCTTCTTGGTAGTGGCACCTGCCCTGTGGAACGCCCTCCCATCAGATGTCAAAGAGATAAACAACTACCTGACAATCAGAAGACATCTTAAGGCATCCCTGTTTAGGGAAGCTTTTAATGTTTAATAGGTTATTGTATTTTAGTGTTTTGTTGGAAGCCGCCCAGAGTGGCTGGGGGAACCCAGCCAGATGGGTGTGGTATAAATAAATAAATTATTATTATTATTATTATTATTATTATTATTATTATTATTATTATTATGAACTTTCCTGGATTGCTCTGTGCCAGAGTGCAAACTGGCTAGGAAAGTGGAATCACATATTTGAGTACTCTGCCCATTAAGTAAAACAAAGCGCTTCCTTGCAAATGGAAAGCTAGCCTTCCAGGGTTTTAATCTAGCCTTCTTCCTGAGATGCTGGCTTTCTCACTGTCAGTCTTACTTAAGAGATGTCAGGGGTTGGACTTTACGCATTTCCAAAAAGATGCTCTGCCACGGAGGTCTTCCTGCTCTTTTTAACTGCCTCTCCCCAGTCTTGCTGGGCCGTGCAAGAGAACACACCTCTCACACACTTTAATGAAGAAAAACGGTTGACCATACCAAATTCCCCCTATTACACCTGGTGGTATCCCATAAAACCAGGCTTCGGCCTAATGCAACAACGGAAGCAGGATACCGTGTGGTGCTCAGTGTCAGGGTTTCCCAGCAAGAACGTACGTTGCTGTCGTAATCCAAGCCTTGTTTAATCATGTTGAATTTCCGGTTCTCCCTCGGGTCGTTGCCGACGCCAGCGCTGTACAACCAGTTGCCATAGTTGCTGCAGACATCATAATCCACCTTGAATTTAGGAAACACATATATGTATATATATCTATATATCACAATGACTTGTTTAAAAGGGCTTGATCAGATATTCAATTCAATCCTCTTCCTTTTCTGAGATGGCTCCCAATTTGCTAAAGTTGCATTGACAATTTCAAGGGATTTCAGGAAGGTATCTTGACCTCTCAGCTGTGCATGACATGAGGTGTTCAGCCGAAGATACATTTTATCTTTAGGGAAGCTTTTAATGTTTGATATATTACAGTATTTTAATATTTTTTTGGAAGCCGCCCAGAGTGGCTGGGGAAGCCCTGCCGGATGGGCGGGGTATAAATAATAAATTATTATTATTATTATTATTATTATTATTATTATTCAGTTCTTTGAAGAAAACATCCTCTGCCCCTGGCTTAACCCCCAGTTGGGTGGCTGCAGCTAGAGATTATTATCTTTATTAAGCCTTTTATAATATTCTAATAGATAAATAAGAAAATACACCACACACCTATATCTCCACAGAGCCTGTGAGACTGTGCACACTCTACAATACGTCCTCCAAAGACTCACGCATTGCATTATTCCTGCATTGCAGTGGGTTGGACTAGATGACCGTCAGGGTCCCTTTTCCAACTCTACCATTCTACGACTCCTGGGAACTTATTCCAATCCTGCATACGTCTCAAAACCCAGGGCGAATTCCAGCAACCAGCTGGCCTTAAGATATAAACGAAGTTGCTCCCATCTTACCAGCAGGGACTCAAACCATTCGGCTCCCATCCTCCAGTCCAAACC